ACTAATATTTTGGAAAATGCGTTGACACTGCTATTTTCATCCAATTCACCCACTGATCCAATTTAGCTCGGTCTACCCTACCTACTTTGAAGAGGAAAGCAATCTTGCGGGGGCATTAGTTGAATGAGAAAATGCACTGAAAATTTCAACTCAAATACACGGCCCGTCAAATATACTTTGTGTGTATACGGTTGTATCCTGAGGCAATTCATTTCTCAAGGGCTCCACATTGGGGTTCATCTTCAAATAGTTCGGCTCAACTCGCGGAGAGGAGCCAAAGTGCTTGCTTGCTATATGTTATTTCCTACAGTGCTTTTTTTACCGTTTGTTGGAGATTCTCAGATAAGTAAGCTAAGGAGACACACTGGCGTACTACGTTTTTTTAATAGACTTACGTCATTTACCCTTCAATTTATTTACTATCTGAAATCTGAAATATTACAACAAAAGACACCGTAGGGCTCGTGTGCTACATTGTTTTAAGGTTCGATATGTTGTAGATCTTAAAATGTAGAACACATCTATAAGATCTCAAAGTATTTCGAGGGATGGTTGATGTTATCATTTATTGACATCCACCGTGTAGTTAAACTTACTAAAATGAAAGGATTGATCTACATAACATATAAGAAATATAAACATTCAATTCAGAAAAAGAAAAATTATTACAAAGAATGGGAACGTAGCTTACAGGGAGTGACCAACATTCTGTTTTTTATCACGTTTTTAAAGTTTATCATTTCACAAGCAAAAATATCAGCGAATTTGCCATAGTTGTTGAGATTTCCGTGCATTCGTACCAGTGGAAAGTTTAAACCAATATTAGTTCTACAAAACGGAATGTACAGTGTCTAGGATTCACTCTTATCGGTACATTTATATTGATTTTCGATGAAAGGTAAAAGCAGTCAATTTGATTGTTCAAGAATCTGTGAAGAAAACATAAATCAGATAATATTCTTCTCTTAGCCAGAGGTAAGATTTTGAAATGTTCCATTACGAAGCTATAATCGTGATTATGGACAGTAATACCCCCCTTGTAAGCAAGAATTTGCAAGAACTTATGTTGAACAGTCTCAATTATGCTTATGTGGACTTTGTACTGTGGGTTCCAAATAATAGACGCGAAAGAAATATTACTATGTATAAACGCTTAATATAGTGATAACAGGGTAGAGTGTCTTCTGATGAAGCCAAGCATCTCATTTGTTTTATTTATGGTTCCATCTATATGACTATTGAAGCTCCATTTCGTATTTAGAGTAACACCCAGATCCCGAATGTTGCTTACTGAATTAATATTGACTTTCTCTATCTGATACACATACTGAAATAGGGTTCCTTTTTTTCGTGAATGTGATAGAAAAACATTTTTTAGTATTAAGTGGCAGGTCATTTCTCTGACAATAATTGCTGAGTTGGTGGATATCAGATTGTATATTGGCGCAGTCTGGAAGGCTTTCAACTATACAATACATCTCTGAATCGTCTGCGTAAAGAAGAAACTGGCAATGGCTAAAGCATTGTGCGATATCACTTATATAACTTAAGAATAGTAATGGACCTAAGTGGCTACCCTGAGGAAGTCCCGATTATGGACTAACGACTCTGGATTTATACCCGTTTATACACACGAAGAATTCTCTGTCGCGCAAATAAGATGAAACCCACATTACAAGAGGGCTACGAACACCAACCTCAGCGAGTTTTGTCAATAGCAAATTATGATTAACTCAATCAAAAGCCTTGCTGAAGTCGGTATAAATAGCATCGACTTGGAAATTTCGGTCCAAAGCATCGGAAACGGAGTCAGAAAAACATAGCAAATTGGAATCCAGGCACCTTTTCGGAAAAAACTCCATGCTGTTGCTGAATGATTACATTTTTTACATCAAAAAGTATTTCGTTATAAATTAGCTTTTCGAACATCTTCGAGAATATGCACAGCTTGCTAATAGCCCTGTAATTGTATGCCATCTACCTGTCTCCACCTTTAAAAATAGGTGTAACGGAGAATTTCTTCCAAGCATCGTGGAAGTTCTAAAGAGGTGTTGTAAATTAAAGTAAGAGGTTTAAATAAATTCATTTTACATTTTTTTATGAACATGGGTGGTATATTATCAATTCCAGCAGATTTGTTGATATCTAAAGTGTCAATAATTTTCAGTACTTGCTTTTCACGGATTGTTTTAAAACCTTTGGATATCATTGATTAATATATCCTACCATGAGATACCCAACCCATTTGAAAGTCATACCTGGGCGAAAATGAGCGTCCAGTGTCTTGAGGGAAAATGTTCGGAGAAACCTACATTTGAAATATATGTATAATAGTTGCGAAGAGAATTACCGTGGTTAAAAGCGTACAAATAATGCGAATACCCGTTTTACAATGGCAATAAATCCATGGATTTCTTCATGAATTTCAAAAGATTATTTCAGGAATTTGACGTCAAATAAACTCATGAAGTTCTTCGTAGATTTCTTCACGAAATTGGAACTTGTTCTAGTTTTTTCCAAGCTGGACGGCAAATCCCGTGGTGTTAACCTTGTATTCCTTCCCATTATATTGAACAAGTTTTCAATCAAGTATAGAACTGATGGAATTACAGTATTCAACAATATGGTTTTTGTTTATGGGATTCGCCTCAGAAGCAGCACCTGAATAGACATAAAAGCTCAAAATGATACTTGCAAAAATTGGTTTTGTGGTTGACAGCACTGCCCAACTAGCAAAGTAGTGCTATAAGCTTTTGGAGAAAAAACTATTCAGCCGTAAAAGCTCTCTATTGTTGTTGCCTGAACACCAAAATGCTGGCTTAATGTTTTGTGGAATGCAAATTTGCTTTCTGGAGCATATTTGCTCTAATATGAGGTTTTTAAAATATTCTTATAGCATAGTTATACAACACCTTATAGGACAAATTTTGAACTGTTGCATAAACGTTTATACAACTATTATATACAGCATATTTGCGCGGTAGTCAAAATAGTTATGTTGTGTCATCCATGGTAACGTTTATACGACAAACCCGAGCCTTGTTGTTTTGGTGTGCAAATTTACTACATTAGCCAAGAAATTGCTCCCAACGGAAGCACTTATACAACTGTCGTTTAGTAAATGTTAAAGGCAATAATATTACAACTTTTATAGTACAAAATTTGTTGCTAAATATATTAGTATACAACTTCACCATAACCTAACATTCTGCTATCATCTCATTAGTTAAAATGCCAAAACCAATATTTTAAGACAAACAACGTATGTATATTGGTTTAAAACGTGTTATCAACTGTTGAAACAGGATATAGATCTGGTACAAATTCTGGGTAAATCTTTCGGCTCTGTCCGTATTTTATTTCAGAGATTTGTCAAATTCTTGTATAACACCTGCAGACAACACCAAAATATTCTAATAATCCAAAGACAATATGGACGATGCCATGGTTACATTCCTCTGTTGAAAATTAAATAATCATGTTTCAGTTCGACATTACAGATATAAACATTAGTGTAATTGTGTCTAAATATAGGATTTGTGGGGGACTTAACGTAGATAAGTTTAGTTTTTCATCTTAAATATCTAGACTTACGTTTGATCATTATTAAAATATGAATCAAATACGAAGTCCGTAGAAATTGCGTAACTACTTTGCACGATAATCACCACAAAATTTGCTGCGCAAGTAATTCAATAGCCCTATATCATAGTTTAGAAGTTTATCATATATGTACCTGTGTATGAAATCCACAATGGCCGATATGTAAGTAAACAAGATGATTGTAATGTGTTAGATATATACAGGGTGGCCAAACACGTGACGTCATAAAAAAAATTAGATTCCCCACATCGAGAGGAACCCAAATCACCCCCATATATATGGTCCGAATGAATAATAATCTGCTGTTCAGTAAAAATCAAACGTGTTTTTGTGGTTTTTGCAAATTTTTTTTCCGAAACTAACAATTTCTATTGAGCAGAGGGTTATCCAATTTTGGGTTCGGTTCTATTTGAGCCACAATTACGGTAGCATGTAGTAAAGCTAGGTTGATGAAATTTTTACGGTAAATAGCTGATACCGTAAGGAAGTTTTTAAGATACTTACGAATAGTAAGAACATGTTTTTTCAATTTTTTATAAACGTTCAAAGTTGTTGCACTTTTTTACTTTTTTGTTATGTTCGAAGATTTTGAAAAAAATTAAAAAGTAGTATTAGTTACATGACTTGAATGATTATATGATAGTTAAGCCTTAGGTCTTAGCTACATAATCGTGAAAAAAGCAGGCATTTATCACAATTATTAACGAAGTTATGGTAAAAATAAACACAGAACTCAAAAATTCTCGAAAAATCCGAAAAAAAATCATAACTCCTAAACTAAACAAAATCGGACCATATATATGGGGGTGATTTGGGTTCCTCTCGATGTGGAGAATCTAATTTTTTTTTATGACGTCACGTGTTTGGCCACCCTGTATTTTTCACTTCGCCCATACAATACATAAGAAATAGTTTGGTTGCACTAAGGTAGAATCGTGTAACAGAATAGTTGTATAGTTGCACTGACGCAAATGTTCTATAGCGGCTGCAAAAGGTTTACACTTTTGTTGTATAACTGTTACCTGTAGCCCTTACAGAACCTCTTAAATGACTGAAGTCTGCGATTAGGTGTGCCCATTCCGCTTGTATAGCTGCTTTAAGAGCGTCTTGCCAATGTTCTTACAGCATATAATGCTGTTTAAGGAATTCTGTATAATCGTTCTTGCAACTCTAATGGAAGTGATAACTGTTAGTTGGGTGTGTACTGACAATAAATCAATGAATTGGTCCATTGATGTATACACTCTAAAACATAATCGGGATATAATACAAAGAAAAATCAGATATACGTATATCTCCCAAGCCCTGCAACCTTCCACCACCAATTTTGTACCCTTCAAACACTGTCCCTGAAACTTGAAAGTTTGAGCAAGTCTTTTTTTGTTTTCTGCCTGTAGCTTCGCCGTAAGTGGTTCGATTTTCAAAAGCTACAGGGCACTTTGGTCCTTAGCATAATAGTAGCTTTTATCAAAATTCCATCAATCCGAGCAGTCAAGGACTACCATACCAACAGACCGACTGGCAGACAGATATACTGCCGAGAATTGAATGAGATGGTAATTAGCGACATGCGGTTAATGTTTGTTAGGGACACCTTCGCCTATGATGAGGTAATGAATATTAACGATTATGGTCAGGATATTTGGGGAGGCATCAAAGGCACATTTGCTCTGTTTATGTTGTGCCCGACGGCTAGAGAGGCGGGGTACATTGAGTATCGGCTGAGGGTGAATTCATGGTAGTCCAAGTCCGCGCTTAGTTATTATTGGTATTACCAATTATTATTCGCTTATGTTTCGGTCTATACCTGTAGCATTTCTATTATCAAAAAAACATATATTTTATTTTTTTAAGATTACAATACTGCTTTAACAATTAGCGTGAGAAGTGAAAATCTGGAAAAAGCTTAATATGTCTTAAAAACATAGACCGTTTATCCATGCCAGAAGTAATATGCAAAATTATATAATAAATTGAGCAAAACCATTTCAGATATTGAGAATTTTGGCAAGTTCAAAAAAACATTGTGAATCTTTTTGTGGATAAAGCCCATCACAGCGCTAACGAATTTCTGGATCAATAATGTATCTTCTTTAATGTCCGCATCTTTGTCCCTAGGGTATCCAGATTGTGAAACAATCTACCTGAAGCTTTTCCCAGTTGTACTACCGTTGTTTAATTAAAAAGTCGGATTTATAAGATTTCTTTAGAGTCCTCATGGCAGCCGCAGAGCCCTTCTATTAAGGCTTTTGCCTAATCGGCTGATTCGGTGTAAAAAACGTGTTTTTTCATAATGTTCCTAATAATGCGTTCACTTGATGTATCTTTATGATGTTCGTAATATTTGTGTATTGTTAACTTCTCTAGTGCTTCATCTAAGTCTCTTGCACCAATAAGTTAGTCTCCTAAAATGCTACACTTAATTTTTTCCTACCCCCTTGTATTTTCATAAATTGCGATGTGCGATGTCTTCGCGATATTACAGAACATGCAATTTCAAATGAATATATAATTTTCAAACGTCTGCTCCTTAGGTTTATTAATTTTTAACTGCTCATGCCGATAAAAGCTTTGCGATTTTTTGCATTACGGGCAGATTTGCGTTACATGCTGTAGGTGATGCTTCTGATCCTTGCGAAATTGTAAATACACTACGATTGATGATAAAAAAGAAATATCCCAAGTGATGAATAGATATATCAGTTGAAATATAAGTCCTACTGTTTTTTTATAACGAAAACCGCTTTATTGGTAAGTGTGATTGTTTTCTATAAGGGTAAATATTCGGTATTTGGAATTTTTTTATAGATTAAATGTTAGCCACCCCTGGTACCTATACAGGTGGTCAAAATCAAAGTATCTGACCGTGGCAAAATGTATCAGGTAAATAATCTCGTAACATAATGAATAAACAAATTAAGCTATTTTTCTTAGTTATCACTGAAAACCCAAATATTGTACAGGGTATTTCAGTTTATTGTTGCATAACTTTAAGATTCGATAGAACGTTTAAAATTAATGCATAAAGTCTATATAAACATGGGTCGAAAAATGCGTGGCTTCCGAAATACAGGGTGTTTAAATTTACTTTCAAAAATAGTTTTTTTTAAATATTTCGAACAATATTTGATGTATAATAGTGAAAATTGGTATACAACGGTTTTTTGGTACGACAAAACGAACCATGGGTATAGTTTTACTGTAGCCGCTAGAGGGCGCTCCCTACTGTACCTGTAGTGTATTAAAATGACCGAAAAATTTTTCTTAGTGCAATTTTTTGCTTTTCGAATAAAAAACTGATTCTCCGCACTTTTGAACATCAAAAAGCTCTCTTGTGAATTTTTGTTATAGTTAGCCGTTTTTGAGTTATTTCGATTTTTAAGGTTCGATGCATTTTTAATTATTTATGATAAAATAACGTTAAAAAGTCAGTATCTCGATAATTTTTAGAAGTAGGCTGTGCCTGCAAATATTTTTGAAATTGAAAGCAGAATAAGGTCAAACGTCAATTAGTTGACAGTTAGTTTTGTTGTCTGTTGAAACCTGAAACGTTTTTTTGCAATTGTGAATGCACGAAATTTAGTTTTTTTACCTGTTTATTTTGTAAGTTTTATGAAAATGCCATTTTTATTCTCCAATCAAGAGTTAGCGGATATTCATTTTGTGTATGGCTTTGTAAATGAAAACGCAGCAGAAGCAGCCAGAGAATACGCACGAAGATTTCCAAACAGACGAGTGCATCGCCAAATAATTGAAAATGGTTTTGGAAATCTCCAAACGGATCAAAACATAAATGTTCGTCAGCACAGATTTACCCGTATGATTCTGCGTGAGTTTTATAGAGATCCGACCACAAGTGTTAGGAGAGTTTCTGGTGGCTTGGGAATTTCAGCAAACCATGTTCACCGTGTTCTTAGAAATGACCATAGACGTCCTTACCATTTGCAACCTGTGCAAGGACTACAGCCAGGGGATGGCGAACGAAGAATCACAGTTTGTCAGTAGATTCTTGATAGAACTGATAGTAATAGGCAGTTTTTAAGTAACGTTTTATGGACCGATGAGTCATGCTTCGCTAGACGTGGAGTGGTAAATTTTCATAATCAACATATCTGGTCGCATGAAAATCCGCATGCAGTTCGGGAAAGAAATTTTCAGCATGAATTTAGCGTGTACGTGTGGATTGGTATCTACCGTAATCGACTATTTGGACCCTACCTTTTGCCTGCAAGGTTAAATGCTGCGACCTTCTTGGAATTTTTAAAGGCTGAACATGCAAATATGTGGGATGATGTTATGTTAGATTTAAGAAGATTGGCCTGGTTCCAGCTTGATGGTTGTCCAACTCATTATTCGAGAATAGTTAGAAACTGGCTGGACGAAAGTTTTCCAGAAAGATGGATCGGCCGTGGAGGACCAGTCGCCTGGCCTCCACGATCCCCTGACCTAAATCCATTAGATTTCTTTGTGTGGGAATTTCTAAAAGAAAAAGTTACCAGACTCCCGTAATCACAAGAGATATGCTAATAGACAGAATCAGGAATGCATGTGATGAAATAAGGCCTTATTTGAATAATGCTATACCACGTTCGATCATTCGTAGATGTGAATTGTGTATTGAACAATTGGGTTTACATTTCGAGCAACTACTTTTGATTTTGTATGCTTGTCCTAACTATCCAATAGCATTTTAGTTGTAAGTAATTAATTTAAGTTGTTAAAAATAATATTGGAAGATTAAACGAATTAATATTCTGTTTTTTTGTGTTTATTTGGAGTTAGGAATGATTGCTGTGTTTAAAAACACAATCTAAACGATCATCTTAATCATTTGTAATGCGCAAATCGAAAATGTAAAAAAAAATATTATTTTCCCATAAATAATTAAAAATGCATCGAACCTTAAAATTCGAAATATCTCAAAAACGGCTAACTATAACAAAAACTCACAAGAAAGCTTTTTTATGCAGAGAAGTGCGAAGAATCAGATTTTTTATTCAAAAAGCAAAAAATTGCACTAAGAAAAAATTTTCGGTCATTTTAATACACTACAGGTGCAGTAGAGAGCGCCCTCTAGCGGCTACAGTAAAACTATGCCCATGGTTCGTTTTGTCGTACCAAAAAACTGTTGTATACCAATGTTCACTGTTATACATCAAATATTGTTCGAAATATTCAAAAAAACTATTTTAGAAAGTAAATTTAAACACCCTGTATTGCGGAAGCCACGCATTTTTCGACCCATGTTTATATAGACTTTATGCATTAATTTTAAAAGTTCTATCGAATCTTAAAGTTATGCAACAATAAACTGAAACACCCTGTATATTCAGCCATAAGCATGAGCGACTGCAGGAATATTTCACGGTCTCCAAGTATATTGTTGTGTCCCGATGAAAATGAAAAGTAGTTTTTTAACCAAATTGGAAAGGATATCATATTTTCGTAGCAACCACTGGGTGTTCCATAACTTCGTGTCATGGCTAACATTATTTTATTCAAGTAGAACTTCTTGTTTTTAGAAGTTCTATCCGAATATGCAATAAAATATAGGGTATTCAATAAAAAAATACATGATTGCTGTGGCACGAAGTATGGTACATCCTCACCACGATAATAGATTTTTGATATCTTCTCCAGTTTGGCCATGAAACTAGTTTCCAATATTGTTGGAACACCCTCTATATTATTTCCATCTAATTGGTTACGAGCACTGGTGACAAAACTCTTTTTCCTAGAAAGCTGACTGGGTCGAAAACAGCTCTTAAGATATGGTCACACTGCACTTCAACTTTCTTAAATATTTCATGATACTCACAGGACAATGGCAGTTCGACAATAAAGATGATTTACTCGTTTGGTCCTACGACGTATTCTTCTCAAAAATCGTATATTATCATTTCACTATAATGACACATTGGTTGTTAGTGACAGTGCCAATGATCTATGATTGCAAAACGAGGGTTACAGAGTTTTCTGCTTACTATATACAGTACATGAATGTTATAGTTATGGTTGGAATTTTAGTACATTCCAAAAATATCAGAAAATTAATAAACTATATACAGGATTATGAAAATAGTGGCAGATTACTTTCCGAGAAGCCGTTATTTAAAGAAACTTACACAAAGTATGCCAGATTGAACAATAATATAGGAATAATGTTGTTTTCTGTGAGAATGGGCGTAGGGACAATATGGTATTTTGTGGGAGTCAGGTACGTATTCCCAAATCGTGTGCAATGCATTTTTCTACTTGTTCTTTCCAAAATACTTCATATAACACTAACCTCGCTTAAGGAGCGGTTTGCAGTTTACTAGCGATCTGGAACTTCATGATTCTCTTTTAGTACTAAATAAAATCATGTAATTTCACACGTAGGGTCCTACAAGCTATTTAGCTAGATGAAAAAATGATTTTCTGAATAACTTTTGTCTTCAGAAAGTTAAAAAATGGCGTCAAGTAGGTTGACTCTCCACTTCCCACGCAATACTGTCATCAGTTCATAAAGGATTATATTTTGCAAACACTGGCCCCTCTGAGAAAAAAGTTAGTAACGGACGTGTATAGCAGAAATAAAATGAATAAAGTCAGTCAAACAGACACAAACAATTAGTCCATAGACATTCTTTCCCTGTCCTTCCGGTAGTACTGTCCAGCTGGCAATGTCGCTTTTTCCCGATACCTGACCAGACGACGCATCAGACGCCACGCGATAGCGCGGCACAGCTGCAGTAATGCCAGGTTATTTATCAAGAGTGGCCCTGCCGGTGAGCCCAGAAAGATGTTCGCGTATCCATCAGTCTAAATTTTGCATTTTGCACATGTACCGAAAATCTATGGGAATACTATAAATATACCATCTTCAAAATGCCTCTGAATCGTCAAAAACGAAGTTTCAGCAGATTCTATTTCTTCGTTGTTTGCTCCGTAGCCTACCGTCACTGAACCGATTTTCAGAAACTACAAGGATTTCCTGTCCTTGGCATAGTAGTAACCTAAACTGAATCCAAATTCAAGATGAGATGTAAATAATAACAGTTAGCGGGTAATCTCTCGGTAACAGGTGGGGACAACGCCTCTTATTGGTCAATTCGCCATTAAATTTCAAGCGGTCGCCTGGCGGAATAATGCGCGGGGCAGGGGCAGGGCAGGCAGAGTTGCACTCAGGCCACCGTCCGTCGCGTGTATCACTGCGTGCTCGTGTTTTCGTATTTACCTTGCTTGCTTGTTGCTGTTTTTGTTGTTAAGTGTATTTGAGTAATTTGTTAAGTTTCTGTTTCTGTTAAATACTGTCATCTTTGTTTACAACACGTTGGTGGTAGTTCATCATTCGGAGGTAGCCCTGAATGCGGCACTGTACGCCGTTCTTGCTTTTGCCAATCACGCATTCATTCTATCTTGGGTGTAAATACACTACAGTATATTCAGATAAGAGATAGACCGGACATAAACAAGACCACGTGATCATCGAACGCTGTAACATTCGGCAGGGACGTATTAAGAGTCACGCAGTACATATTTTAGATAGTAGATGCTGCTTTGCGTAACTTTGTAGTAAATTAGCACAATTCGATGTGTATACGATTGGTGACGGATATAGGATCATGTGGGGGTGGGGTAAGAAATATATAATGATGTAAATATACATAAGGGTTTCAAAATTTTCGCTTCGATTTCCAGCTTCGGATGCCGCCTGATGTTTGGTGAAATACAGTCGAATATAATCTCAAAATGGCGTTTAAATTAGCCTAAATTAAAAATAATCGTATATCTCTTAAAATTGCTTTTAGAATATTAATTAGTATATTTTTTGATTTCTAGGTAAATATGTAACCAAATTAAAACGTTCAAAACGTAAAAAAATGTGCATGGTTGAACATTGTCAGAAAGTAGATTCTTGAATAGGTTTTGCCAAAATGGGTTCAAAAATGTCAATAATTAATTAAAAAATACAGTAGCTTTATAATTACTTATAACTTACCAAATTTGATGAACGACATCTTTTATTGGAAAGATGAGCTAGATGAGCTTTCATCATCGCTACTGCCTGAAGCACCAACGTCAATAATGAATGGCTCGACTTGTTCCTCTAAAATATTGTCCAGTTCCCACATACTTAAAATATTGTCCAGTTCCCACATACTCTTTTCAACTTTGTCTTTCACGTGCTTAATACAGTTTTCCCATTTTTGCGCTGTTATTAATTCTAGTGCTTCTTTGAAAAGTCCTTTGAGGTCACAAAATTTAAAAGTTGTATTGTGCTTAGCTATATAATTTTTAACCTCTGCCCATATGAGCTCAATGAGATTGAGCTCGCAATGGTATGGAGGTAAACGGAGCACAGTTTTATTTTGACTTGCTGCCATTTCGTCAATGGCGTATTTTTGATATTCCGCCTTGTGATCCTTGACAATTCTTAATAATTGTACTTTCAGCATTGCTTCTTCAAAGTTGATATTTTTCGAGCGGAGCCAATTTTGAACATCAACTTTCCTTGAAGCCGTTGTTGGGACCTTCTCCATTCTTCGAGAATGATAAGGCGCATTATCCAACACAATTACTGCGTTTTCCTCTAAGTTCGGTAAAATTTTTGAAAACCACTGTTCAAACGATTCGCCATTCATTTCCTCGTGGTAATCTCCAGTTTTCTTAGACTCAAAGCACCACAGACCGTCAACAACAAATCCATCCTCACTGCCAATATGGCAGATAATGAGCCTTTTCCCTTTACCTGGAAATCGAAGTACTAACTGGTGTAGATTTATTTCAAATGTTTTCATCACATTCAGCGAAAAAACATTGAGACATGAGTATCAGATTGATATAATTGGGATTATTTAGTCATATTGAAAGAAGGAATATTGAACGTCGTATGATTACTCAGAGCTTCACAATTTAATTTAAAGTTATAAACCTTTAAAAAATGAATGATCAGGAACCTGAAATACGCGCAAATATTAATATTAACAAATTATAACTTTATAAAGCTTAAAGTATGAATTAAAATGATTAGAAATATTAGGAACGGTACACAATATAAAACTTAGTCACTTTTTTTAAGTTTATAATATTCGACATATTTTAAGATTATATTTAAAAATTATTGAAATATCGAAAACACATAAAAACATGGCTTAAAAAAGTTCTAACAAATGAAAATGACAATAAAACATCCACGCATTTTATCGAAAGTTATAAAAGTTTTGTTACTTGTAATATGTTTTATCTGCCCCCTGGAATTAATGTTTAGAACCTTGTTCCCAAGGTTTGAAAAACATCCGATTGTTGTCTATTACTCGTATTTACCTGCTGGATTTTTTAATCCGGTGGACAGTCCATCTAGAAAGGCCCTCCTGGAGGAAGTTACAGAATCATCAACCCATACTTTACTTGTAGTGTGTCCTGCGTTTACCCACGTTTCATCAAGGTAATAAATCTTCCTGTTTTGATTTCTATATTTCCCAATTTTTGTTAAATAATCCCTCTTCCATAGCACAATTTCTTCTCTATCCAGTAGTAAACTATTACGACCCCGTTTTTTCCATTTGAAATTTAAATGCTTCAGTAACGCATGGAAAGTTGATCGTTTGAAATTTGGCAACGTTGTATCTCCATTTACCTCCTGCAGTACTTTATCTATAGTAGGTATTTCATTCCTAAATAAGAATTCATGCACTTTCCTCCTAATCGCATGCTTATCAGCTTCATCCAATGATTTAACAATACTTTTGCGATGTTTACTGGTCATTGGCTCAGAAAAGGTGTGATTTTTTTTGTATTGTCTTAACACATTAAACACTGATGCGCGACGCACCCCAACTTTGTGAGAAACCTTCACAACAATTTCTTTGATGGTTGATGCCTCGTTCTCCTCGCGCTCGATCTTATATACATGTATATTCAAAATGACCTCTTTCATTTCTGCACTCAGGTGTCTTTTTTTAGAGCGTTTCCTAGGTGGACTACAGGAGTTTACAACTTCATCGGCAGTATCTGTACTACTGGGCATTTTGCGCAAGCAGTTGATAACAATAACAATCAATAACAAGGTATAACAATAACAACGACAAACTCAACAACTTAATAAGATAACAAACGGAAAACGTCCAAAGAAATATCAAATTGCAATGATGCACACGACATACGTAACACGTCTGAACCTGAATGTGACTCTGCCTTGATACGACTGCTCTGCCGCTCGGCATAGGCATTTAATTGCGAATTGACCAATAAGGGCTCCTGTTTTACGTCGAGACGGCGGCGTTAGCGTGAAAATCACCCGAACCTTTTGTTTACATCCGGTCTATCTCTTATCTGAATATACTGTATAGTGTGAAAGTTTTATCCCAATCCGAGCAGTACTTTCCAAGCTATAGACGGACCAAGTATTAGCGGACAGACAGGCAAACAGATTGACAGACTTACGGAAATGAGTGATATGGTTTTTGTAAAACCTGTAATTTAGCACCTAGGTTTCCCCTCACTTTCAGGGCCCTGCGTGGGAGAGTTCATGATTAAGTTTATTACCAAAAAATACTTTCTAGCCTCAATGTCCCTGCGAACCTCGCCGTAACTTAATATTATCGTTTCTTCAAGGGCATCTTTGAAAGCCATATCTACCGAAGAATGTCCCTCTATAAAAGGCATCTTATACCAAGTCTGGTACCCATTTAACACACAGAAGTACCTGCCCTTGATTCTAATCAATGACGTAATGTTCATCCTTGACACAATCATAATATCGATATCCTGCAAAGGAACCTTGATAGCCGTAATGCTTTTCACGATAAGCCAACTTAAAATTCTACAGCAGAAAATTGAGGCTCTCGATGAACAAGAGCAAAGAAGTGAACAGGAGCTGCTAACTGACATTGTGAGACGTATAAAGGAACATCAAGAGATCTTGAGGTAGGAGGTTTTTAAAGTAAGACAATAGTTAAAGCTGCTGATGGCCAGGATTTTGTTTTGATAACCTATAGGAGGGTTACACACAATTTGGCAGGAAATAATGATGTACTTCATATTTATCTAATTTAAAGGGCTTCTTATTGACTTGTTGCCTCTGTATATTTTTAGGGTGATTCATTTTATACAGAAGTCTCTCAGTAAAATACTGTTCATTCAGTATTTCAGTAGCTCTTGTGAACTAGCAGCCTTTTTGATATTCATGTTGACAGTAAGTTACCTAACCGTTTTTTACCATGGTGTAGAAATACAACTTTTGTTTTTTTTTCAGTCAAACAGTTTTTTCAATGCATTAAGGTCTCTTGGTGCCTTCACAATGCTTGCATACGAAGTATTTGTAGTATTTTGGTTTGCGAACGAAGTTCAAATTGAGGTAAGATAAAGGTGAACCACTTAAACAAGTTGCAAGCAGATTTGCCGGGCACATGCTGCAGACCCTCTGAGCGTCTGTACTGAACGAAATCTATGAATAAATGGCATATTTCGGCAAGAAAATTTCTAGGTCTGGTAGTACAAAGGGCAAAGGAGCCCTGTCGATAAGCAGCGTATAATCAATGGAAATCCGATCGCTTTCTAGTTGCATCACGCCGCCTCGTGGACACACACCTCGGTACCACCATCCGAGGTCTGCACCATAAAGAGGCGAGGTGCAACTAAATAGAAAGCGATTGGAGATACCAATTACCAATTTGGTTATTTCACTTGAACGCCGCCAGATGGGCGCCAAGGCAGATTAAGAGAATGGAGGGGTTGTGGCGTGGGTAGGATTAAATTTGTCTCTAACACACGATCCTGGAAGTTGGTTGGCAGCTGGTTCTGTAGACTAATTGGTTATGTCATCGACACGGCATGGAGGAGATGTGGATTCGAATCCCGCCGACTCCCATTTTTCTTTGTCAATCTGTTATTTATCGCGGACATGCTCATCAAAAAAATCAAAAATAAGTAGCGCATGATCTTTTCACGGTGTTTTGCAGTTCATGGTTTCTGGACACACAGTCTACTACTTCATACACCACATTATAAAACTAAACTGAAAAACCTATGTTTATATAAACAAACATGACTCGCTATTAACGATGAAAAGATCGGTACAATTTGTGTGAATAAGCTTTTTAGATATCGTTAAAAATAACAGAGCTGTCTACGAATTACAAATTTTACTACGTATATCAATATTGACTGTGCTATAAATATACGTTTCCAATCATTTTGTAATTATTGTCCGCTATATCTGTGAACAACGGGCCTTTTTGTAGAGCATTGCTGTCGTGGACGCGATCTATCTCAAGTGCAATTGGAGGAAATATGGGAAAAAAGTGAACAATACGCTGCTCCTGATGCTGCTCAGGTCCCAGACACCGGCTTCCTTCAAAGCCTTCTTTATAGGAAATGTCTCGCTTGCTTCTTTTACCAGGGTAGGTAGGATGTAACTGACACATCGATATAGATGGGTCATTATACAAGGTGATCCAAAAAAATAAAATTGAAGAAGAAAGTACTTCCGAAAAGTTGGACAGTTCCTATAAACATAGGTTAAAAAAATGTCCATTTACCAAAATACATGGTGTGGTAAGTGTCTGCGACACTGACGTCACTGATTGGGGACAAAACATGAATATTCGAATAACATTGAGGTGGCTTTACTCCTCTAATACATACAACAATTTTTAATGTCAAATTTCAATGACACATTTTTGAAAGATAGCTTATTAGATTTGTATATGAATTTTACCTGAGATGTTAAAACTAATTTGACTCCAAAAATTCCTCGAGAGACATTTCTTATGCAATACCTTGTGAGATAGTGTGTAGATAATATTTATATTTTTTCTTCTGTGGGAGTGAAAATATGATTCTATGTTACTGGTATATTTTGAACTCCGATTTTTTTCTCTAAGCTAGTTATGCTGCTCTTACTACACGTGCAAAATTTAAATTCGGTAACATTATCCATTCCGATAATATTCTTTTTCCTTTCTCAATTATAACTTTTTATAGAATCTTTTGTTTCAGTTTTGGATCAACTTCTACCTCATAAATACTGTCTTTATTCTTCGGCTCACTCTGTATATAACCGATTAATTTCTTTTAGTTAATGAAGCTATGCTACTCAGTGGTTACGTTCGCAAGATCTTTTATGAATACCAAGACAACCGAATGACAAAGCTTCTGTACCTAGCTTAACCATACGTACTAGTATCAGTGTTACAGTAAAAGTTAATAAAGCTATATTCTGTACATCGTACATACATTCTCACTTAAGATGGACTACTAACCATAACTTATGAATAAGGGTCGTATATTAGCCACAAAATCACCAGTCGGCATATTATGGCGTGCCCTGCGATAGCTCATAAGAAGAGAAATCTTTTTTAGTGCTGTCCCCTACCGCCTTACAGTGATCTCTCTATGCGAAAACCTGGCAAAAATTAAAAGAATGAATTCTCAAAAATGAATGAAGATTATTACCTACTTTAAAGTTTGTACGTTAAATAATAGATTGCCCATGAATCTTTGGTTACACTGCAGTTTCCATAGCACAATACTTGAAGTTTGTGGTGTATCATTCGACATTACTTTTTAACGGCAAAATGGAAGAAATTTTGTATAATCCGTAGAGTTGTGTGTTCAAAATATTTTAGCATTTGAATATGGACATAATAGAGTACAAACTTTTATTTGATAACTATTCGTCATTTGTTTGTCTGGGCAGTCCGTGGGGCCTTTGCCCAATAGTCACTGTCTAGTGTACGTTAGTCGAATCTGTCAGTACTGGTTGCCCAGAAACCAGACAAAGGCAAGAAAAAAGAGAAAGGGAAAGAGCAGAAAAAAGGAGAATAGCAAAGAAATCAGATGTGCTTAGTTTAACAGAAAACACCTAGGCTTTTTGACTTGGTACACGGATTAATTTTGAGGTGAAATAAACAAATTTTTGATTCGGTTTTGTTAGAGTGTAATTCTGAGTTTACTAAAAATTCGTGCTAACTTTTGATTACAGTGCGAGCCGTGGCCTTGAATATTTACGAACTTGCTCCACTGTGTACTCCACTGAGTCACGCAACAGAGGGTTGCTGTGCTATTCCGCTTGTCTATAATTCAAATTCAAATTCAAATACATTTTATTTGCCAAAAAAACATTATTTTACATAATAATATTTTTATTTTTGACAAAAAGGACATATCACCGATCAAAATGACCGTTAACACTCACCTCAGTGGGGTAGGTGTGAAAATGCCCTGTTCTACACTAATCTACACATATATTATAATATATAAACAGTATTTAGGAATTTAATAATTTAATTTATTATGAACATAAACCATTGATATCGTAGAAAAAATGTATTTACACACTTAAAATGTCAACGTCGCTGCGCCTGAAGCTTGACATAATCCCTCAATTAAGGAATATCAAGGTCTCTGTGTAGTGTCTCATTTGAGACATACCATGGAGCGTTGCAAATTGTCCGCAAAGTTCTGCTTTACAGTACTTGAAGACTTTGCATGTGTGTCTTGGCAAGAAAACACCAAGCGGCACTGCATAAGTAATGGCTGGTCTAATAATCATTTTATATTGTCGAACTTTGTTTATCAAACCCAATTTGGAGAATCCACATAACAAAGGATATAGTTGCCGAAACGCAGTTTTGTTTTTATGAATGCTCTATGTTTCTGCCAGGTCATGCCTTTATCAAGGGTGACACCGAAATACTTGGCAGAATTTGTCCATGGTACACGATTTCCGTCTACAGAAACCTCTGCTGGGGGGCCGCGGCGTTTTTTGGTACAATAAATAGCCTGGGTTTTCGAATGATTAATTTTTATCAGCCACCGTTCCGCCCTCTCTACAATTTCGTCCACCGTATTCTGCAACCCATCGTGAATCAGAGAAGTGCAGTATCGTCAGCATAGAGGTAGTCTTCACCGTTGCTGGGGCAAGGGACGTCGTGGATGAAAAGCAAATAAATAATTCGTTCTAGGACCGAACCCTGAGGAATAAGGGCCCGTACTGGCCGTGTTGTTGAACTTTTATTTGATGTGTGATCACTACAAGTATTTTTAGCTTCACTTCTTTATATTTGTGTTGTCACTGCCAGATAAAATGTAGTGTCAGTTTTTTCCAAACTATTGTGAAACACAACCTTATATACTACGAGTACTTATTCAACTTTTTGGAATGTGTCCTTTGCGTGCGCCTAAAATTTCCTTCAAATCCGATCTTTGATTTGGACTTAATGACCGCGAAAACCTATTTGACATGCGACTTAGTCTAATCATACTAGACAAAAATATGACTTGCGAAATAATTGTAAAGTGGTTTTATTGGTGCGAGTTGCTCAAGGGTGTACGCATAAAATGGGTACACCAAGTTTTGTGGGAACTTTTTATTCGACAACAAAGAATGAGAAAACGTGTTTTTGGGGATACAATCGAAAGTGTTGCCAGGAACGAAAAAACTTTTCATATAAGATTTTTAGGTATTTATGAGACCTACAAAATGAGACCCCACGTAAAAAGATCCGACTAATAACAAAAATGTGGACGAAAAACGAGGCAAAATGCAGGCTTTGGCATTTGGTAATGCGACGTTGGTTTCTCGCAGATATTTGAAATTCTTCAAATCAATTTCCGATCCATGAACAATGAGAACTTGTGACGTCTTCGGCACGATGGACGAGGGTGATGGGTCTGGTACATACTTTAAAAGAACGGGTGATTACCTCATGTTGATTTGTTGCTTTGGAGAGTCGGACGTCTTTCTCGACGATCCTGGGCTTTGCTGGTTTTACTTGGTACCATCTTGAAGATCAATCAACCAATCAAAATGTACTTTATTATCCAATAATACTTTAATCTTATTGACACAAGTTGTGAATAAATTACTATATAAGGCAGATAGTCACAAACATTATATAGGGTGGGCCATCTGTTATTATTTTCACAGTTGGTAGCACTTCCATGCTCAACATATTGACAGATATATTCTGTAAAAGTTCCGCTGTGAGCAATGGATCGTTTTAATCTTGAACAAGGTGGGAAATATTGAAAAACTATTTTCAAAGAGAGTGCTGTGTAGCAGAAACTTTGCGAAAATTGAGAAGCCTGTTTGGTCGGAATGAAGCTCAGTCCGAGCGAACGAACATTTGTGAAATAGGTTCGGGAAACTAGCCTGCTTGTGGATATCAGAAGGTATGAGCGTCTTCGACCCATACGTACAGTCGAAAACATTGCTGCTGTTGCCCAGAGTTTGCGTGAAAACGCCAGAATGTCAACTCGTCACAGAGCACAACAAGTGGGTATCAGACACACTTCTGTGCGAAGAATATTTCATAACGGCCTGAAATTATTTCCTTGCAAGGTGCAACTTGTGCAAGAGTTGAAATAAAATGATCCGTTTTGATATCGTTTCTCGGTGTGGGCTCTAAGTCAATTGGGAACGGACGTCATTTTTGGACGCCAAATAATTTTTTCGGACGAAGCCCATTTCCATCTGGAAGGTTACGTTAACAACAGAACTGTAGGATTTAAGGTTCTGCAAATTAACATGTCGTCATAGAAAAACCAATGCCCAATGCATTCAAAAAGAGTAACTGTTTGGTGTGGCTTCTGGAATGGTGGGATTATTGGTCCCTACTTTTCTCAAGATGAAGATGGTAACAGCGTGACGGTAAACGGGAAACGCTATAGAGACATATTGAGGAGTTTTTTGAAGCCACTATCAGACGACATGCACTTTCACAATATCTGCTTCCAGCAAGATGGCGCAACATGCCACTCCAGCCGTGAAACAATCGATCTTTTACACACTAAGTGTGGTCATCGCGTTATCACCCGTTTTGGAGACGTTCATTGGCCAGCCTGCAGCTGTGATTTGACGCCCATGGATTACGAGTATTTCCTATGGGGTACTGTTAAGGACCGCTGTTACACTAACGATCCTCAAACAATTGATGTTCTTAAAGTAAGTATCCGTCGAGCTATTGACGAAATAGACCGAAAACTATCAAAAATGTGCTTCAAAATTGGGTTAAGAGGATGGACCACTGCCAGGCCAGCCGCGGCAGCGATTTAACTGAAATTGTTTTTCATAAATAATCGGAAGGTGTATTCTTTTGAATAAAGTATCGAGTGTTACATATTATTGAAGAGTATAGTTTTGATACCAATTTAAAAAAGAAACTAACGGATGGCCCACCCTTCATAACATGAAATAAAATAAAACATGAAACCAGGATAAACATAAAACAGACAATATTTCAACCTGCAAATATGGTCACAATACGTCATGTTAGTATCCCTATAGGCTATAATGAGCTTTTTGTAGAACCAGTTATCTCACAACCTTTTTGAAAACCTTCCAATCATCGATTATTTTGGTATCTGCCGGAAGTTAAAGCTGACTTGGGTATAGGTAAATGAATGCTGTGGTGATGCCTGAAATTAAACCGTCTAGTCTCCGTTGCTGGTTGCTGAGTGGCATATATTTCTGTTTAACCAAGAATTGTCATTTGTAATTAAAAAAGGTACCGGCGGGTATTACGAATCTTTAAAGGTGGCATTTAGTCGTTTTTTTTTTGACATTTTGTAAGTTTTTTGTGACATAACGTAGGTTTTTCCACAAAATGTTTACTCCGCACAGCCTATTGTACACCCGTTGTGAGCTCGTTTTGTATCGGTACATGTTGCTTAAACGTCAGCGAATAGCGATCATAGCGAGCAAACGTGGAATGACTAAGAACTACCTAGTCTGCAAGATGACATTTCGTCGTTTTCTTTTCGGCGTTTTTTATTTTTTTTTTACATAATACCCCTACCGGTAGCCCAAACTTCATGTTAGTAAACAATAATTGAGACTTATATGGTTTCATGTAGCAGCCAGACAAACATAGAAAATAAAGTTTTGCATCGTGAAAATTAGATGTATTGAGGATTCCAAAAATTCTAGCATATCCTGCAATGCAAATCCTGTTTTTGTGAATGAAGTGCAAAGATTATGAATATGATGTCAGCTTTTCAGTAACGTAGGCAGGTCTCGAAGATAGCAGAAACGTTCTGCAAGTAGTTCAAGGAAGACGCTTACATATCCATGAATGATTCCCTTTATTTTTCTTGGCATTGCATTGGTTTACTCCATAGAGCAGAATAACATGTTAAATTGCTCCCATAAACATCTCTGACGTTTTCTTTGC